CTTACCCTTGTCAACTGATGAAACGACCTCATTAACATCGTGAAGGATGTTCGACAATCGGTGCCTGTCTTAAAGTCAAACAGCAACAGTTCGGGGAATTCACACTTCCATAGTACTTGTTGTAGATTTTTTGTCGCATTTCTTGGATTTGCTGTTCAGTGAGACCATCAGTTCGAGTAGGGCCAATAACAAGACGGTTCCATATCCATCCAAACAAGTACTTTGGGCTTGCTTTTCCGTGACGACTGAGCACGTTTCGGATGTAACGATGAATAAAGTCATCTAGTTCATTGTTTTCAACGGCTTTGACAATCATCTTCTTTGACGCATCGATGGCATTGAATACGTAAATAGTGTCACCAAATTCAAGATTGCCCACGTCCTTTATAATGAGCTGAAACGTGCCAAGCAAAATAGTTTCTGCAGTCATATTTTCGCTTGACCATAATACATCTTGGTGGAATATACGGACGTTATCGAATCCATAGTCGCGTGAAACTGCCGACCAACGTGCAGGGAAAATATCCCACAAGCAAACCTTGGATAGTTCGTGTACTGAAGAGTCTGCTTGGATACAGTTTTCCTTGTGTTTATGCCAGTGAGTTCTCTGACAGGTTTTTGAACAGTAGGATGCTTGTTGGCAGCCAGTACATCGCTTAGTATCACAGTTTTTCTGGCAATTGTAGCAACGACCAGGAGCCATGTTGGACAAAATGCGCCGATGTTCCACACAGCCCGAAATGGATTGTGCGTCATGTTCTCCTTGCCCAATCACGTGGCTTATTTCTAATTTGGCGGGAGCGATAGCACAGGCACAGKCACAGTCAATCCAARGTAAGCATTTGACTGTCCGATTTAGCGCTTGCTATATCTACAATGCATGTAAGTATTACATATTTTAATAAAGAAATAAGTAAAAAATTGCTCTCTCTATCTCCTTTCAATAATCGAAATACTCCAATTTCGAGTTCTGGTTTGCTCTGTGTTAGCCTCAAAATGAAGTAACTGGGGACCGTACAATACTAACCAGATTTCTTAAGCAGGAAATTAGTCAGAACCCCCCCTCCGAAACATAAGAAAATAGCTCTTTACCAACCCAAAATTCAATAAAGACGAACCAAGATGCAAGAGGTGGCTTCACTCATCTGAACCTAAGTGCAAAGACAAAAACTTTGATTAGGAGCTGAATTTGTTCCTGGGAATTTGTATGAATTTGTTCCTGGGAAATTAAAGGGATTTTACATTGGATATATTGGCTACATTGTTGAAAATCTCACAAGCAAATGTGGCGCCCTTGGTTCTTTCAAATAATKTTCTCCTGACAAAGGTTTTCAAGGTCCAAAAAGGCTTATTTATATGTAACGTTTTTATGGTCAAAAACGACTTTGATGGTTCTTGTGCTTGTTATGTCTAATAAATCATCAATATGTTTTTAAGCTTCTACATCTTCAATTTATGTGACAACTACATCCTCAAATTATGTGACAAAATTGAAAAAAATCAATAGTTGAAAAAAATTTCATACCTTGGTCAATTTCAATCCCACATCAACGAGTCTTTGAATTTAGATTTCCATTAGTCAGGCGCGTAGCGTGGACTTTTTATGCACATGTCAGGGACCGCGACACATATTTTGGATCTGGGGGTCTAACGACCGCCAAAGGCAGGAGTATTAAGGGAGTSTGGACCTCCCCCAGAAAATTTTGAAATAAATAACTCATGGAAATGCGATTTTCAGCGTTTTGAGAGACATCGAAAATGGTCCAAGAACAGAGCCTTGAGGTACTCCATATTGAAGGGTCTTGCTGGTCGAAACAACATTCCTGACTACTACAGATTGTTTTATGTTGGTAAGGTACGATTGGAACCATGCCAGTGCAGATCCACTAATCCCATAACGATGACGAAGTCTATCTATGAGACCCTATGAGAAGGGCGTAATCAATAGTATCGAAAGCGGCTGATACATCAAGGAGCACTAAGATCACTTCATGACCAGAGTTAATGGCACGAAGAGCGGTGTTGTTCAATATTCGAAGCATAGCTGTTTATGTGGTGTGGATAAGTCTGTATGCAGATTGAAATTTTGCAAACAGTTTATTTTCCATCAGTTAATCGGTTATCTGAAGAGAGGCAACCCGTTCAAGTAGCTTGGACAGAAAAGCAATGTTCGTGATTGGCCTATAACTGGAGAGTTCTTCGTTGTTGAGATTTGATTTCTTTAAGGTGATGATGGGAACAAAAATGTCAGGGTCTTGTTTTAGTAGATCCGTAGGAATCGGATCAAGAAGACATGACTTTGCATTGACTTT